AACCCTAAAACCTAAACCATAAATGTAACAAGAGGATCATGTGCTTCATCATGCTTCTTGATCTCGGGCCCTGTGGTGCCTTTGCCGGGACCTGCCGAAGGAGTTGGTTGGCTTTTGCGACACCAGGCTGAAGCTCCCGGAACAGCGTGCCCACCTGGGAAGGAGGGCGGAAAAAGGGGGGTTTAGGGTTTAGGGTTTAGGGTGTAGGGTTTAGGGTTACTGTAGGCTCTGAAAGCGTAGACGTGTGCAAAAGACGAAAGAGCTGAAGGGCTTTAGAAAGTCTGAGGGTGATCAGAAAATTCTTGCCCCACCTACACAGGAACGGCCCAGCTCCAAATTTTGGGCTGTCGGTATCGATCCTGGAAACCAGGTGGAAGTGAGCAACCCGGAAGAGACCCCCCCAAAACCCAAAAGACGTGAGCAAGCGAGCCCCGCTGGACCACACGGTTCCGCAGCCGACGCACTCTTTCGCATCCCTAAACCCTGAAACTAAACCCTATTTAAACCCTAAACCCCCCTAAACCTTAAACCCTAAACCCTAACCCCTGGCATGCCCCTGGCCTTGCCCGTAATCTTTCTCTTCACTAAATCCAAAAGCTCAGCCGGCATGCCTGGCCACTCCGAAAAGCTTGCAGTTAGGGTTTAGGGTTTAGGGTTTAGGGCTTAGGGTTTAGGGTTTAGGGTTATCAGTTATCCGTAACAAGTACAACATAGGGAATGCAGCATGCGCATGAGGTTTCACATCTGTTCGTATTCGTTGGTAAGCTGGAGTTCACAGGAGCCGCCGTACTTGCATGGCCACATTACTCCTATGCTGCTGCCTGTAGCCCCAGTGTAGGGCTAAAATGCTGGGTGTCAGTACCTCTTCCACAAAGGGTTTAGGGTTTAGGGCAGAGAGGGGGGATCTGTGCGCTTCAACAACGGCAGCAGCAACAAAGATGCAATGCATAGCGAGAAAAACTGCGATTTATATAACACTAGGCGTGTTCCCGGGTCGGACTCAAGGTGTGGCGCCGGACTGTTAAGTGCACACAACATGGTTGCTTGTGTGTTTTGGGGTGGGTATACCAGGTCCTGAGCCCCTCTCAGGGCTGAAATGGGCGCGGAATTAAATAAGGAGTTTTTGGCTGAAATGCCCAGTAGTCGTTCTCGCGATAATTGTTGCGTGCTTCGGCGCGCTTGGTGGTATCGCCGACTTTTTCGACTTTTTTACACGAGGTACCGACCGGTCAGGCTGCCCCATCCTTACCCTCTAACACCGAGCCTTTCAGTGCGTTGAAACAGGCGTCCGCGTCGCCGCAGCCCAGGAGTGGGGCCGTGGCGTCCTAAACTGCTGCTGGAATCGGTCCCTCATAAAAGTTTTAGAATCGTAGGAGGCTCGAACAGGACGGAGGCTAAACTCTTTCACTGAAGCAGCTGTGCTTGAACGCAAAATAGGCAGTCTGATTCAAACAGTTCCAGCGTCGTCGTTGCCGCTTTCCAAGGCATCTGTTTCCTGCGCGTCAGCAAACAGAGTCGAGAGTTCGGGGTTGCAGAGGCTTCTAGAGGGCTTCCAATTCAGAAACCCTAAACCCTAAACCCTAAACCCTAAACCCTAAACCCTAAACCCTAAAGAACTCCACACAAGGCGATGTAGTGCTGCAGCAGATGTCAGGGATGCAGTCTCGAAACGGAAACCTGCTTTGCGATGGTAAGAAAAATAGCCCTAAACCCTAAACCCTAAACCCTAAACCCCTAAGGATTTCTCCTCGGGGTACACCAAGCAATTTGGGGAGCCGGCGATCGCATCGCTCCGTTGGACAATGTAGGCGGAAGCATCCTCGAGGCGATTTAACAAACCAGTGAGTGTTGGTACTCTGCTCCAAAGATAGATTGGGATGACTGCTTTGATTGTCGCACTGAGATATGGTGCAGTGCATTGCGCGCCAACATGCTGCAGTACACAATGTAGCCGCCCCGCGGTGTCGAAACGCTTTGATTGCCCAAGTACAGACATGTTGCCAACACATGATTCGTTCACCAAGTATGCACACACACACACACACCCACCGACCCACCCACCCACCCACCCTCCCACCCATGCACCGACGCACGCACGCACGCACGCCCCCGCACGCACGCACTCCCGCCCCCGCACGCACGAACACGCACATGCTCTCGCACATGCACACGCACGCTTACACTTGAGCATGGCGTGGCCAAGCAAGGTCAACTGCCAACCCCCAGCCCACAACGTGAAAATGGATACCTTCTGGCTGTTTTGTCGGGAAATGGGAAAGAAAATGACGAGCATGCATAGATATGCAGGCAGACAGATACACGCAACAAATACATCCTAAAGTGCAGATTTCAGCGCATTAGCTCCAACCCCTGTGCTGGATCCTAAAACCTAAGCCCGTGTACCGAAAGACGGCAGCCCCCACCATTCGGGAAGTAGCTGAAGTGGGCGCAGCCCGCCACCTCGAGGTTTCGGTCCAGGAGTTTGAGGGTTTGAGGGTTTTGGGGTTTGAGGTTTCTAAGGTTTAGGGTTTAGGGTAAAGTTGGAGGTTTCTAATAAGGTTTAGGGTTTAGGGTAAAGTTTGAAAACGTTGCTTGTGGTCATGACATGGACGTGGGCCTCGTCTGACCTCAGTGTCTTGTGTGGTTGCCGCGGACCCCTTATGCATCACCTGTCGGCTTCTTATGAACCTTTCGTGGATCTTAACGCAGACTTCTTCCGGAAGATCCCATAAGCTGGACTCCATTGTCATGTTATCATGATAAATCTTATTCTTATTCTTCTTACTAGAAGATATTTCCTAAGCATGCTCCGAACGGTATCACGCAATCCTAGACCCCAATTCAACCCCCCGATAAACCCCCTTGCTTCTGATGCCTTTCAGCCGACCTCGCGGGACCTCAGCGTCCTTCGTGGAGTTTATGCGAGTTTATTTGGAATCCTTCATGGATGCCCGGTGGACCCGCTATATTTTGGTTTTTCGCAGCCTTCATGCGAACTCAACTCATAGGCTGGACGCACTGAACTCCACTTTCAGGCTTGGTTTTGCATGTCTGTTGTCTCGCAAAGTGTGTCTGCGAAACTTACCACACAATCCTGGGGACGCCACGGTTTTGACGGTTTGCTGAGCATGCAAAGCTTGCGAAGTCTTTCTTTGGAGGGTCTTCGCTTTTGGTGCGCGCCGGGTGCTGAACCCCCCGACAACCCCCATAACCACACACGGAGGCTTTCGTACTTTATCTAGCAAAGATCTGCTGTCTTTCTATATGTTCTACTGGCGCTGCTGGGCAAGGCTCAGCCCTAAACCCTAAACCGTAAACCGTAAACCGTAAACCCTAAACCCTAAACCCTAAACCCTAAACCCCAATTTCTATTCTCGGAACTTCCCTGTGCCTGCTGGCATCGACTCTGGCAGGCCAGGAAGGTGCTCTCGGTCGTCCGGTCGGTTCCAGGCATGTTGATTGGCAGGAACCTGTGGCCCGCCTTCTTACCTAGGATGGCCCCCTAAACCCTAACCCTAAACCCTAAACCCTAAACCCTAAACCCTAAACCCTAAACCCTAAACCCTAAACCCTAAACCCTAAACCCTAAACCCTAAACCCTAAACCCTAAACCCTAAACCCTAAACCCTAAACCCTAAACCCTAAACCCTAAACCCTAAACCCTAAACCTTAAACCCCAAACCCTAAACCCTATCCTCTTCAACTCAATAAAGGAAAATTTGACATGTCCCGAGGGCCTACCGAGATACAGATTCCGAGGCTTCGGAACCTCGGCTGTGCTGTTGCGGGAGGTTACAAACGTAATACACCTACATGTGCTTGTATATGGGCGAAACTGGGTGTAGATAAGAGTAGGCTTATATATATATATATATATTTATGTATAAGTATATATTTATATGTATTTATATGTAGTATTTTTTGTAGATATATATACATATATTATAGGCAGGAACTTTGTGGTGATGCTCCTGATTCCATAGCCTCAGCCACTGGAAGCTCCAGACGCACGCACGTCGTTAACATTTATCTTCGGCGAATATCGATATGAGTTTTTCCAGCTTGTGCACACTACGATTCCTGAAGATTCTGATGCAGATGGGTGGGTGGCGGCTGGTGTTTGACAGCCATTGGACCAAAGTACAGTTTCCCACTGCCATACAGTTTCCCACTGACACAGGGAAAAACTTCCAGAAAGGCCGTTCAGGCGTACCCGTCCTGAAGCGATATGACCTGCTCAAAGGCCACAGAGTGGCACTCATGATGAGTCGCGGTGCTGGCCAACAGCCGTAATGAGAACATCCGAGAAGGAAGTCATCCCTGCCAGAGCATGCGACCGGCCAACTGCTTCTTCGTCCATTTCTGTTTACGCCGCGTTTGGAGACCTGCACGAGATTTTTGCACACAAGCTTGTAATGCAAGCCGCTCGAAAGTGTTTCCGGCTCGTGCTGCAACCTCATGAGGCAATGGTAGTCAGTTGTGATTACCCTCAAGTCCACAATGAAACGTTGCAACCGGCATTGGTCAATGCGGGTTTTCTGATAGTTTGAATGTCGAGATTGCCCGACCGGCGACAGCATGGGTGATGCTGGGTAATGGAGGGAAGAAGGCATAATGGTGAATCATGTAGCACAAATTTAGTACACGAAAGCTCACCCCCCCAAAGCTTTGTAGTACAAAGTAAGTGCGCGAGTTGATAGATAGATAGATAGATTGATTGATTGATTGAGAGAGAGAGAGAGAGAGAGAGAGAGAGAGACAGGGGCAGGGGCAGGGGCAGGGACAGAGACACAGAGAGAGGGCGAAAACCCACCAAATCACATGATACATAAAGGTCCTCCAACATAGACATACTCAGAAATGTTCTTTGGGGTGCTTACGTATTTGCAGGTGTGCGTGAGTTTCTGCGTGAATATCTAAATGTTTATCGCCCGAAACAACGTTGAATAAACGCCTGGGCTTAGACTAGGATTCATGAACATATGGCAAAGAACACGTGCTCAACACCGGCCCCGCAACGAGTAGCCAGGCCCATGATCCCCACTGAACTCTCCATTGAGGCTGAGCTCGCGCTTCATGCCCTGACATCTGCTTGGATTCCCAGAGCTGTCGATGGGCATATTCACGAAGATGCACTCGGGGTGTGTAGCACACGTGATAGCGCAGTTCTCCTCGCTGGTAAACTCCCCTTTCGACCTGCAACTGGATCTAGCATCGTTACGTCTTTCATGGTAATAAAGATGACACTGAAAAAAAACCCATGAAAACAAACACCGCGAAGTAGCACAGCGTTCTACGAACATGACGAAGCTTCGAGGAGATTAATCACACTCAGGCACCGGAAGAGATTGAAGATCTCAAGATGCTTTCCCATCATCCACCCATCCAGGTCCTTAGAAGTTGGAAGTTTTCGTTCCCTAAGCCAAAACCATCCCAACGCCTGGCACGCCTGGCTTCAAAGGACGTTTGCGGGAGTTTCGGTTTGTACTCTGTTCTATCTCTTGAAATACTACTGAATGATATTTTGCTGCTGCTGCTGCTGCTGCTGCTGGCGCTGTTGCTGCTGTTGTTGCTGTGCTGTTGTTGCTGTTGCTGCTGTTGTTGCTGCTGTTGTTGCTGCTGCTGCTGTGGCCGTGGCCGTGCCCGTGGCCGTGGTTGTTGCTGCTGTTGCTGTTGCTGTTGCTGTTGAAAAGTCCGCCCCCGAAAAAAAAACTGTTGCTGTTGCTGTTGCTGTTGCTGTCGCTGTCGCTGTCGTTGTTGTTGTTGTTGTTGTTGTTGTTGTTGTTGTTGTTGTTGTTGCTGCTGCTGCTGCTGCTGCTGCTGCTGCAATAAAGCGCAGACTCCACGGAGCGACGCGAGCGCCACGGCACTGATTGACGACGCTGTGGTGCTGGACTCGTCGGGTTCCGCCCCACCTCCTATGACCCAGTGTCGGCCAGCTGGCACGGCTCTTCTTGCAGGTGGTGCGTGGATGCCGAGTGCGGGGACTCACGAATCGCATGCTGGGCGTGAGTTGCATAAGAAACGCTGTGAGCAAAAACCCGTTTTTGCAGCACAACGAGCAGCCTAGCCTACACATCTCGACTACTCAATTGTTGTGCTCTCGTTCCACCATTGCTTTGTCTTGCGATGGTGCTCCCAATCTCACTCTTGTAGGTGCTACTGCGGTGAGTAGTCGCCCACAATGAGCAGAGCCCGCTCGTTCAGCATTCAATGCATGATGGCTGCTGTTGGCAATTTACGAGCTTCAAACCCTGAGCCCTAAACCCTAAACCCCAAACCCTAAACCCTAAACCCTAAGTTGGTTCTTGAATCCTTCCTGCATCTGCAGCCCAGCCGCAGGTAGTGGCTCCATCGCCGGGGTCGCAGGGGCTACCTGACAAGTCTTGGGGCCGTACACGATGGGCTTGTCGTCACGGGCCTCAAATGTGGCTACGTCGGGATGAAGATAGCATCTCCTTGGCTGTTCGTCTAACCCTCGAGCAACTACTGTTGCCATCGTTGCTATTTGTAAAGAAATGAGAAGCAACCAGAAGAGCATGATTTTAAAAAAACAATTAGTGTGAAATCACTCCGCTCAGCATGTGTCGTCTACATGGAGGAGAGGGGGGGGGGGTAAAGTTCTTCTACCGGCAGGCCCAGGTTCTTATCCGGCACGTAGGAAAAGAAGTAGCACCTGAAAGTTTGTGTGCACCTCGCCTGGCAGGCCTCCGCACTGGCCTTTCCAGGGTGCAAGGGCCAAAACCCTCAACCCTCCCCTTGCAGGGGCTTAGGGTTTAGGGTTTAGGGCCCCTTGTAAAGATCCCCTTTTGGGACGGAACCTTGTCCCACCATCGCCAGGCTTGTATACCCCAAGCCCCAGAACGCTGTAATCCTCAACATCTTCACTTGCCCCCCGCCTCGTAAGACATGGGGAGAGCGCTGAATTCAAAGGGATGGTAGATCCCTCCGAGCTTCGAGCACGCCTTGTACGCCAGGGTGCCGGTGTGAACGCTGTCAAGGGGCTTCTTGCATCCAATGCCTGCGCTTGGTGTTGGGCCCTACTTACCCTAAACCCTAAACCCCTAAAACCTAAACCCCAAACCCTAAACCCTAAACGCCAAACCTTAACCTAACCCTAAACCTCAAACCCTAAACCCTAAACCCTAAACCCTAAAACCCTTAACCCCTAAACCGCTAAACCCTAGCCCACCGAACCTTTTGAACCCCCCACCAAGCAAACTGGAAAGAATAAAACTGCTCAGCTGTGAAGATGCTTCTGACCCGAAACCCTAAACCCTAAACCCTAAACCCTAAACCCTAAACCCTAAACCCTAAACCCTAAACCCTAAACGCTCAGCTGTGATGCAGAAGCTGCCGAAGATGGCCGACATGTACCAGCAGTCGCGCTCCGTCTCGCACCTGCGAGAACACTTCTCCTCGGTCGCCTCCCCATTCCTTATGCGGTTTAGGGTTTAGGGTTTAGGGTTTAGGGTTTAGGGTTTAGGGACTAAGAAGCCTCCGAAAAGGTCTGTTGCATGGCGCTTTTCATGCTCTGTGGTCGCGACGAAGCCAGGTGGGCAGCGACTAGCCTAGGGCTTCTCTCCGTCTCAAGAACCAAACTGCCACCCGGATTCCTGAGGGTGAAGACGCGATTGGGACTGCCAGGGACTCCGCACCTGTGTGGTGCCACAGGACACCCCCGCCCCCACTCCTCCCACCCAACCCTTTAACCTAAACCCTAAAACCCTAAGACCCTAAGATCCTAAAACCCTAACCCTAAAAACCCTAAACCCTAAACCCCTCCAGACCCTAAAACCCGAAAACCCTAAAACCCTAACCCCTAAAAATCCTAAACCCAAAACCCCTCCCAGTAAGAACCCAAATTGATTGAAGCCCGACCAGGAATTCCAAGCCCCTTTTTCGAGCCCGGGCCCGTTGAAGTGCCCTCAACAAGACCCAGGGTTTGGGTTTAGGGTTTAGGGTTTAGGGTTTAGGGTTTAGGGTTTAGGGTTTAGGGTTTAGGGTTTAGGGTTTAGGGTTTAGGGTTTAGGGTTTAGGGTTTAGGGTTTAGGGTTTAGGGTTTAGGGTTTAGGGCAACCTAGGAATACAAAGGGTGCCGTTTATTGGGTTTAAAAATGCTTCGCAGGGAACCTAAACCCTAGAAGACAAAAGGGAATCAGAACCCGACTCTGCGTCCTAGTCCACCACCCTTTTCAGGCACCCTAAACCCTAAACCCTAAACCCTAAACCCTAAACCCTAAACCCTAAACCCTAAAACGCTACTTCCAAGGGCAGCCAGGGCGCTTCTTGCCGTTGAAGAAGGGGTCCGGAATGACGGTTTGGATCTTCGAGCCTGGAAACATCCGTGCAACTGGATGCTTCGTACCGAGGATGGACCCTACAACCCTCTGAAACAACGTTCCTGCAAAACATTGCTGAATATGATGCTCTTAAACCCAATAGGGGCCGCAAATATAGAATGTCCCAAGCTACCGGGGTACTTACAAAGGAACCTTGATGTCCTAAGATTCAAACCCCTGATCCTTCTTTATGCATCCAGGGCTCAGGGTGAACCCCTGATTCCTAAACCCCAATCTGCACGTGGGGGGTTTACGAAATAAGCGGACCCCGAGTGTAGCCCCACACATAGTAGGCTTCCTTTACAATAAGGACCCCAAGAAGGTTCCCCCCTAAACCCTAAACCCTAAACCCCAAAACCCTAAACCCTAACCCCCTAAACCCTAAACCCCTAAACCCGCTGATGACCTGAAGCAAATCCCAGTAGCAGGTCGGAGGCCCGGCGACGACCCCCTGGTTGTTCCGGGTCGTGGGCGTGGCGAGGCTGTCCTGGTCTGTGCCCGAAGTTGAGGGGTTTAGGGTTTAGGATTAGGGTTGAGGGTTAAGGGGTTCAGGGTTAAGATGATTAACCAACTATAACTGTACTCGGGCACTTAAGGGGCTTATAAGTGGGTTAGAAGTAGAGTAATAATTGGTTCATAAGTACCATGAACCTCCCAGTAGTGTCTCTCTTTATGTCATCCATGACCAACATCGTTTCTTCTTAGGGGGTTGCACAAGAAAAGCACTTGGTATCCACCCCAGCCGTTCGGGTTCCAGATGACTCCAGGCCTTGACACTATACTCCCCTTAGAACCTTAATAAAAATCATGTATCTAATATCCTCTTGGGTTTAAAAAAAAACAATTCCCACGGGGGATATAGGACAGACATAGAGAGCAGGCAAGGAGCAAGGATTCTCACTTAAAACCTTCGAGTCCAAAAGGCTCGACCTCACAGGCGGAGAACAATGCGTACGCGCCATCCCGCACATGTTTCGCAATAAAGGTTTCTACGAATAAGGCAGTTCAACAACACCTTCCCCCGATTGTGTTGAGAACCGCTATACTTCTCCAAAGACAAATCGCAAGCAATCGCAAGCACACAAATCGCAAGCACCCGTCCCAAGATGTTGAAAACACTTAGTGACTGAAACACAAATTGTAGGCCCCCTCTCCAATATCTTTTGTCAGTTGTCGTCACTTGTCCTGGTACTGCCTTCGGCTGCTAAGAAACCCATTTGTTCACCTGACCTTTCGTGTTCCACTTGGAAACTTACACGAAACAGCTTCGGTCTACAGTTCAGCCGCACGAAGGCCTCCCGAACTAAAAACCAGTTGGTATCTTAATCTCAACGTGCAGCCTTAACCTCTGGTTTATTTCTAAAATAGACTCAGAAAGCTCCCTTTATGTGCAGATCTTGGGAGCATGACGTGACATCAAGACGAATGAGGCCTTTGGCCCTGGTGCTATGGAGTCATGGAGAACTTAACGCATGGCATTGCGCGCAACATTTTGAGAACAATAACCCATTGTTCCAGACCGACCTGAGTGCAAGGTTAGGTGCTGGCTTGAATTCTTGCACACGCTGGTAGTGCTCATGGCAACAAAGGAGCAACCCATCTATACCCTGAACCTCCTAAACCCTAAACCCTAAACCCTAAACCCTAAACCCTAAACCCTAAACCCTAAACCCTAAACCCTAAACCCTAAACCCTAAGCCCTAAACCCTAAGCCCTAAGCGCCCTGAACCTCCCCACCTGAAGGTGGCAGCCTCCGTTGGGCCAGTAACTCCAGTGTGCGCAGCCCGCCACGCTGTTGCAACGGTCTTGGCAGGCTGTTGAGCTGCTCTCCACGGTTCCTCGGGGCCGGGAACTTATGCACAAAACCATAGTGCAGGTTTAGGGTTTAGGGGTTTAGGGTTTAGGGTTCAAGCTCACGCGAAGGGGTCCCAGACTGTACGGAAACCGTCAGAGAACAGTTTGAAAAAAGAAGCCTCTGAACAAAAGCCTCTACAAAGGATACCCAGGCAACCCCCAAAAGCCTAGAATTTCTCAGGGGCTATAAACTTCACAGCCAATTTCTAGGTTTTGGGTTCCCCCTGAGCAAATCTGGGCGTCTTCCCACGCGGTGCATGTCCAGCGGATCAAAATACACATCCCGGAGGTCCGCCTTGGAGGCCGCGGAATGTCGCTCTAAGGAGCCTTCTAAGCTTCGGGGCTGAATAGCCCAAAAAAGGTTAACCTTCTATGTATAGTAGGATTCTATATAGTCAAAAAGGTTAAGGTTGCCTACCCAGTCCGTTAAGTAAAGAATGTAGCTTTCTAACATTACGTGCAGCGCCCCTAAACCATACAAACTCAAATCCCAGACTCCCCGTAGATTGCGCAGGCGTTGCCCTCCTTCGCGCCGTAGAACACGTCCTTCAGGCAGCCGGCGAAGTCCTTGGCCCTTTCCACGACGATATCGACAAAGCAGTCCACGAGCTTGGTGACGGTCTTCCAGAAGGACGGGAAGATGTTCTTGACGTTGACTTTCTTCAGACACCCCCCGATTTGCTTGACTGTCTCGGTATGCCCGTCAAGGCAACCTCCCGAAATGGTCGTCTGAAGCAACGCGGAAGGCTGGGACCACTTCAGCACGTCCGCTCCAAGGAACTCGCTCAAGTTCAGGCAGCCAGAAAGATCCTGATCGTGGAGCGCGAGGAAATTCTGAGCCACGGACTCATTCACGCCAGCGCTGTGCATGGCAACTGGATGTGAGTGCGTGGCTCCATCGATCTTCCGACCGTCGACCAGTCCGTGCATCAGCTCGGACAGGTTGAGGCACCCGGAGGAATCCTTGTCATAGGCGACAAAAGCTTCAGCAAGCTCCCCTTGCTCCTCTTGAAGTGTCAAATTCTCATCCAGGACCTCGTCCACGGTCATGTTGTCATCATCCGGTGTCGTCAAATTTGGCACTTGCTTCATCACAAGCATCCCTGACTGAGCTTCTGATACATGCCGCTGCAGCAGTGCCGGACTGTCAGCAGGAGAAACAGCACCTGACTTGCAAGTATCCTCGTAAGCTGAACTGTTCCAGCACGCACAACACGTGCAAGTAGCGATGCCCAGCACGAGAAGGAACCGCGTTGACATCACGCGAGGCGGTAGGGGATGAGTAACCAAAAGTAATACTCACACTTGTGGTCAGTAGTGGCTGCAGCACAGCAAGTGAAAGCGGCCCGTTCCTGCAGCACGCTTGAAGTGGTCTTCTGACTTGCTTGGAGAAAACAACCCTAAACCCCAAGCCACGAACCCCAAACCCTAAACCCTAAACAATTCACATGAGCTGCTTTGCGACGCCGTTGAATTTTACGCAACCACGAGCGGAATGCAAGCCGTCATGTTGGCCATGATGAAGAACTGGTTGTCCATCATAAGTATCTTCGTTTCATTGTCTTGAAACGGAATTGCTTTGTGATAGTCATTCATCTATCACTTATCTTTCTTGCATCTTTCAACCTAGTACAGTTCCTTGAGAATCAAGAGCCTTCTATCCAACATACTGGGTTCTAAGACCTCCAGAAATGTCACGATCTAGGAGCTACAGCCGCCGCGCGACCCTCGCAAACGATGCAAAGCTGCTGCACGATTCGCCGACATGATGCCAGTACGAATTTTTCCGCAGCTACAGCACCAACGCGAGACCGCGAACGCTTTGCGCACTGTAGGCAGCCGCAACGATATTACTAAGCATCAGGCCCTCCGGCAGTGCCATCTCGATTGACTCACAGCAACCTTTGCCTTTCTGATTTTGCCAGCCATGCCAGGATCACTCCAAGCTAAGGCTCACGAGCGGGGCATCTTCAGTCGGACGCCAGCCTGCGTGCAGAATCTTGCTTCCAGAGTGCAGCTTGTGACTGGTTGAGGGTTTAGGGACTCAGGGCTATGACGGCCATGTGTCTTTGCGTGGAGGAAGAAACCACGAGCAACTTGAGCTGGAAAGGGCTTCCGTAAAATCCCAACTCTGCACTACCATGATACTAGCCATTCACAAGTGACTCCTTATTACAGGCAAGCTCTCTAGTGCAGTGTTGTTTTCAAGAAGTGCTCTAATTACTGCAAACCTGGCCAGCAGTCGAACCAAATCAAAAACTCCAATGGTTGAATCTGCGGGCCCCTAAACCCTAAACCCTAAACCCTAAACCCTAAACCCTAAACCCTAAACCCTAAACCCTAAACCCTAAACCCTAAACCCTAAAGTACGAGGAGTGGATTGAACTCACATCAGGCTGCCCAAAACACATCAGCTGTGGATGCTCCTGGAGAAATTACACGTCAGCGGCAAAAATGCGCATCAACGCGTCCCAAACCCCAATGTGGATGCTGCACGTCGTTCTCCTTACATGACAGCTCAAATCTCTCGCTGCCTTGTGGGTGTTGATGTCTTAGATGCTTTGAAACAGCTTTACAACAACCATGGCGTTCCTGGTGGCAGCACATCTCCAAGGACTCGCTTGTTTCTCTCCCTCTCCCTCTCTCTCCCTCCATATATGCGTGTATATAGTAATCCAAACAAGAAACAAGTGCGACTGCCCAATGCGGATGCTCCCCACAAGTCGAGTACAATAAACTGTCGTTCCAGTGTGACTGGCCAAAGCGTGCTTCCCCAACATGGACGGTCCCCGACGCATGTTTCGATCAGGCCATGCGAGATCAAGCGACTGCTTGGTCTCTACTCCCCTTAGAACCTTAATAAAAAATATTTCCAATACCCTCTTGGGTGTTATATAAACAAAAAATAATTCCAAGGGGGATATAGTGGTAGCCCAGTAGCCACATTTTAATAAGGGTGCCCTGTTCGGGGTTGGTCACTTTGCAGGGGAACCTTGAACCAGAAAAGGGCACAAGGGTGCTGGGCTGCCAAGACTACACGGTATGTTATCCCTAAACCCTAAACCCTAAACCCTAAACCCTTAACCCTTAACCCTAAACCCTAAACCCTAAACCCCGAAGTGCTGCCTGCAGCCACGAACCAGCACTTTCAGCCAGGAGCTGCGGAACCAAAGGCGGTCCTCAGAGTTTTAAGATGCTGAGAGCTGCCGTGGTGCAGGTTTAGGGTTTAGGGTTTAGGGTTAGGGGTTTAGGGTTTAGGGTTTAGGGTTTAGGGTTTAGGGTTCCAGACTGCAAAAGAAACAAGCCGAAGCAACTGCAAGAGCTAGACGCTGTGCGGAGAGTTGGTGCCGGGGTTGCGGACTATGCGCATGGCCTAGCTCCCAGCAGTGCAGGAGGTGGGTTGAGGGTTTAGGGTTTAGGGTTAAGGGTGATAGTGTAAGAGGAAGGTCATGAACAACAGACTGAGGCCCTGTCCTTGTAGTGCCATTTGGGTGTTGACGCTGGTTTGCCATGTCCGACAAATTCCCCCTGGCAAGGAAAGAGAACGCAATCGAATGCCATCTTCTGGACTATTCTCTGCAAGTTCCCCTGAAAGTGTCTTATATCTGATGCATAACCTCTGGCGGCATCACCTCAACGCGTTGAGCCTCTCCTGCACCAAATCGGCACGTTGTGTCTTCCGAGAATGGTTCAGTTCGAGTGTTCGATTCCTACAGTAACAGGCCAGAAAGAGCAAACTAGGGGACCCTCGGAATGGGGGAGCTAGCACCCTGTGCATGTGCGGTTCGTCAATGGCTTTGGTCCCACACTGATGGATCGTGAAAGGTTGGTCCGGGATGGCCGGCTTAGAAATGCTGGCAGCCAATGACTGTGAGCCAGTGTGCTTTCTGCCCTGGATGCCTCTCTGATTTCTCAAGGCTATTCGCAGCCCGAATTCTCATGTCACAGAAGCAAAAGCTGTACAAACCCTTGACATGTGCAGTACATCCCTGTCCTGGATGCTCTCCAGATCTGCTGAACCTGAAGCAAGTTCTTGGCGCGATGCTGAATAGGGTGTGGGCGCGCGCACTGAGACTAACCAGGTCTCTCTCTCTCTCTCTGCCGCTGCATCCCAAAGGTCCCACTGCGTGAGGCTAACTAGGTGGTGCAACTGAACTGAGGCTCAATTCAGCCGCCTCCGCGATATGCGGTCGATGTCGGTGATCCAAGGCTTCCCGACGAGGCAGTGGCCTCGGCAGAGCTAAGAGGAACCCAGAGACTCCAATACCCCTTAAACCATCTAAGGACCCCTGTTCGAGTTTAAGGAATACTCTTAATTGAGGGGTAGTGGAGTCCCTGAAAAAACTGCGTTGCGCAGGTGTCCGTGCTGGGACACCGCGCCAAACTCCGACCGCGATTCGCCAGATGTTGCAGGCCACCACCTAAGCAGTCGCAGAGGCTGCTTCCTTGTTGGGGGGTACATTAAAAACTATCATTTTTTAAATCCTTATTGGGAATTTCATGAGGAAAATACGAAAGTATAACCAACAAGGACCCAGGAGGTCGCAGAAGGGTGTGGGGAAGGCGGGGGTGAACCAGCCTGGGAAGCTAGGGCTCGCGCTCGAATGGAAGAGGCCTTTCGAGATGTCCATCTTGCTTTGTGGAGACTGGGGAGTGCCTTCGGCAAGCTAGCGGATCTAACACCCTATGAACCCTAAACCCTAAACCCTAAACCCTAAGAAGGCGAACAGTGCAGTTGTGCCCCAGCCCCGCAAGCTCTCAGACTGTGGCTGGCGCTTCTGCCGAGATCAGAGTTTAGGAACGCTGCCTGAGTTTTTGATAGGTAGGGTTTAGGGTTTAGGGTTTTAGGGTTTAGGGTTTTTAGGGTTTTAGGGTTTAGGCTCATGAAGCCACGCAGCCTTCCCAAGCACCATGCAAGAGCCAAGAACGAAAGGATTTAGTGAAACTCGTGCTCTTTCTGGGCAAGGCACGGCAGCAGATGTTTCTGGAATTCCTGCAACCGAGACATGGCTGTTGTGCACGGAAGCAGAGGAACATTCGAGGCAGGACGCTTGAAAGCATGCACCCTAAACCCTAAACCCTAAACCCTCTTGGGCAGATGCAAATTGTTGCCTGGCCTGCAGCTCTGGCAGCAGGCGGTGCCTCCCAGCACGCATTTTTTTTAGCTAGGATGGCCCTTAAACACCCCTCTGAAAAAGTATTCCTGAAGGGGATCCTCTTGAACCCGAGAAGGGAAAACAAAAAAACATCCCAATGACCTCCCTCGTTTGGCTTCTTTTCTGTCCTTGGTTGGCTACCTCTTGGTTACGCAGTAAGGTTGTTGGTCAGTTGTTGCAAGTACGGTCGAACCAGCCATGCTTTGCTTTCTATGATGTAGCTTTACAATCTCGCAACTCTCTGCGCTCTGCGTGTTATTGCCGTGCCTTGCTGCTCACTTCAGCCATGGCTTCTTGCAGGGTCCTGGTGCCACAATCAGGTTTCACATTCTACCAGTTCTCGGCGTTCTTACTGTTGCTTAGTAGGGACTGAGGGAACGAGGTACCCTATATCCCCCTATATATATATAAATGGCAGTGGGTCAAAATTCGGGTTGTCGCGGGGAGTCCCCCACGCCCTCTGCTACAAGCCTTGTCGCGGGCAGGTTGTTTCATACCTTTGTCGCGCCGCTACTTTGAACCCAATTTTCTTAGTTGGGTTTTGTAAGGGTTTAGGGTAAAGGGTTTAGGTTTAGGGTTGGGGTTTCGGATGAAGGGTTTAGGGACCGCAGGGATTTTACTGGAGAGCCTTAAACCCTGAACCCTGTAAATATAAACCCTGGGCTTCTCGTCAAGGTTGTCCTACGGATGGGCACCTGCTGGCTCGAGCAGTCGCGCGGGTTGTCGCGGGTATGTCGCGCCCTGTCGCAAGCCTTGTCGCGGACTGAGAGCGAAAGTTGCTGCAGACACGCATCAAGGTCGCATCGAGATTGGCAATGAGAAAATTCAATGGTATTGCTGTCTTGTCGGGGGGGGGGGGTTGTAGCCTTGTCGCGGGGGGGGTTGTCGCGGACACGGCACGTCTGTTACAAACCTTTGTCGCGGAGGGACCCCCCGGTGCCTGTTACAAGCCCGGAAAAAAAACTCACTGCCATATATACACATATATACCCTTTAAGGGGTTATAGAGGGTACTCCTTTCCCTCATTCCCTACGAACCCTAAACCCCAAACCCCAAACCCTAAACCCTCAACCCTAAACCCTACCAACAGGAAGCTGATGTGCCAGGTGATCCCCGTCCTCGCATTGTCCGAGGCGCGGTGCGCAATCTGCAGGAGTTCGGCCTTCACCTGGTCCTGCGACGACAAGGGGTTTAGGGTTTAGGGTTCAGGGTTTAGGGATAGGATTCGGGAGACCCTTGGGGATATAGACCCTCTGAGTAAGGTCCCTGTTTAAGAGAGCCAGAAGAGGGTTAAGAATGGCTCCCTTCTAAGGGTCCCCCTTATCCTACCTAGGATCATGCCGTCGTGACGATGTCTTCCATAGGCAGCTGTAAACATTCAATCTGATGAACGCATTTGAGGCTTTACGATAATACGGGACCCCGAATTCAGACCCCCAAATAGTACGACCCCCTTATAATATGGACGATTGCAACGACACCCCTGAACCCTAAACCACCCTAAACCCTGAACCCTAAACCTAAAGACAATGCACAACTCAGAGCAGGAGGCCATCAGGAAGTCCTGCCCCAAGGCAGTGGTGGAGCCTGAATAACATGAACCCATGACAGACTTTGTGCGACGTCAATGCCCCATGAAGCGAGTTCATGTCTCTCTCGGTCCTTCGTGCACAGTTCAAATTCTACTCCAGCAGAATGCTTGTACAGACAGAGGCTGTAGGTTCAGCATGCGTGAAGAAAACGAATTCTCTTGTTGCCCACGTTAAAGGTGCTGTGCGGGTTGACAGTAGTTTTCTTTGGTTCAGGCCGAATGTCAAATTAATTTGTCTTCGCATACAGCTGGGCGCAAGCCCCAGATCCGGGCGCCTGTCGACTGTCGAGCCTGCGCCTGCGCATGCAAGTGAGCTGATGATTTGAGGGGGGTGTTTCCGCGATAGCCGTTTCCACAACTCACAAGAACCCCAAGGCCAAGAAAAAAACTCACAACCAACTGAGCACAAAATGCACGTCTCACCTCGGTGATCAGCTTCTCAATCTCATACCGCCTCGGTCTTACATTGTCCTACATGTCACCAGGAAGCAAGCAAGCAATCATGTGGGCACACGAACCCCGAACGGTCCATGTCCGAAAATAGCATTGACCTTCGTCCATGGAATCCCTAAGACTGCCCTTAACTAAGTCCCTAGGCCCTAAACCCTAAACCCTAAACGCTAATGTCCTAAACCCTAAACCCTAAACCCTAAACCCTAAACCCTAATTTCCTAAACCCTACACCCGCTGAAACAGCAACACTTATCCCAAAGCGGCCTACCCAGCTAAGGATTTACACCTGGGGCTCGGGCTCCACGGCCATGGCACGCGTCTCATCGGCAACCTGCCGAGCTTCCACCTGAAGTCTCGGGGGGGCTAATAGGGTGTCTAAGGCTTAGGGTTTCTGGGGTTTCTGGGGTTTCTAGGGCTTCTAGGGTTTCTAGGGTTTCTAAGGCTTCTAGGGTTTCTAGGGCTTCTAGGGTTTCTAGGGCTTCTAGGGCTTCTAGGGTTTCTAGGGTTTCTAGGGTTTCCAGGGTTTCTAGGGTTTAGGGTTTCGGATAATACGGGGGCCTGAGCAATTGGAACAGGGTTTTGGGGTCTATTTAGTAGCAGTATAAAGGGGCCATAAGGGAATACTATTGGCAATTACCTTTCGTACTTTGTTGCCACCCGCACTGCGATCTGATGTCGCAGTCTCCGCCGGGCGGGGGTCTACCAGCATACCAACGAACTCTCACGGCAGCAGCAACTTCATCCCGCCAAATGATGGAAGAATTAGTCCAGGCTTCGCTCCCTTTCGCTCCCTAGGATTTTGGGTTGAGGGTTTGGGGGGTGGCTGTGCTTTTTTGAAGAGTATCGGTCGGGATGTTCCTCTTCTACTAACAGTCCTTAGTATTTAAATAGGGGGTACGATAATCCCTATCAAGGACCGTTAGGATAAGGGGGGAACATCCCAAAGTATCGGCCCTTTGCGGACATTATCCCCAATTCCTCGGCAGATCAAGGCTCAGTACTCAAAGGGTTCAGGGTTGAGGCTCATGCTCCCTTAACCCCTAAGCCCTCCCCCCCCCCCCCTTTAAAAAAATGAAGAACCACAATCCAGGGAAAATGACCGAAGACAACGTTAAACTCTCAGGGCCCCGTTTGCAATGAGCACCCCCACCCCCCCCCCCCCCCCCCCCCCCCCCGCCCAACAAAAAAAGATAACCAAAAATGAACATACAAATACAAAAAACACACACACAAAGAGGCTCCCTTTTCAAGCTGCCTTTTTGCAGCAAGCAAAGCCTAAACCCTAAACCCTAAACCCTAAACCCTAAACCCTAAACCCTAAACCCTAAACCCTAAACCCTAAACCCTAAACCCTAAACCCTAAACCGCTTCCTTTCAAAGGTAGGTTTCGGCCTTGGCAGCCGCGAGCTGGTCATGCATCTCCTTCACGCCTCAGACACATGAAGTCCTAAGGACTTAGGGTCGTTTTTTTGTTATGTTTTTTTTCGGTTGGGGGGGGGGGGGTAGGGTTTAGGGTTTAGGGTTTAGGGTCTACGGTGTAGGGTCTAGGGTTTAGGGATTAGGTTATAGGGTCCGCCGAGCTCTCTGACTGAGGGCTTAGGGTTGGGGCACAGGAAAAGTCATGAAGCCCTCGAGCAGGATCCGCATCTTGTGCCAAGGGTACTTGGAGGTTCATGGTACTTATTAACCGATTGTACCTGTAATTATAACACACTTTTAAGCCCCTCAAGTGCCCGAATATGGTTCTAAGTACTGGTAAATAGGTACCATGAACCTCCAAGTATCCCTTTTGGGGTTGGGAAACCCTAAACCCTAAACCCTAAACTCTAAACCCTAAACCCAACAAGGGAACCCAGGGCCAAGAAAAGGGCAGAAGGATACTGGGCTACCAAAAGGATCAGCAAGAACAAGCATCATGGTGAGGCCTCACCCTCGGGGAACCTCAGGATGGGTTTAGGGTTTAGGGTTTAGGGTTTAGGGTTTAGGGTTCAGGGTTCAGGGTTCAGGGTTTAGGGTTCAGGGTTCAGGGCAAAGCTTTCAGACTCGACTGCCGGCTTCATTGCAAGGGGCGCGCTCGCGAGCTTGAGCCCACGCAAGTCGAGCCACTACAACGACACACATATGTCTGTATGATTCGTTGGTATCAATACCCGATATATATACATGCACATCATACTTCTACCTATATATATATATATATATATATATATATTCACATGTACATACATATATATATATGTATATATCTTTATATACATATATATGTGTGTGTGCATATCTTTATGTGTATATACATATATAAATATAAATATAAATATAAATGTATATATGTATATATATATATGTGTATAGATATATATGCCATGCATCAACTCAGCTCGAGATCTGAGCGTCTCAAGGCTCAACTTGTGACCAGAAGCCCGCAGCGCACCGCGGTGCAGGAAGCCAAGTGGGGCCCGCTTTTGCAGGAGACCATTAAAATTGCAGCGCACCCCTCGAACAGTTCTGGCTCTGAACCCTAAACCCTCCCTAAACCCTAAACCCTTTTTAACCCAAACCCTAAACCCTAAACCCTAAACCCTGAAGGAAAAGGCAGCTCCAGATGTGAAGCAAAACGACCGAGTATTGAAAAGCGGTGCTTGTTTCTCGAACTGCACAGAATTGCTTTAGGGTGCTTGCTGCTTGTTAGAAGCATGCAGGTGACAGACCTGCATTCAACTGGAACGAAGTCGGATTGCAGGCTCTGGGCACTCTTTTCACGAGAAGTTAACCTTCAAGGAGTTAGACCAATGCAAGGTCCAGCTCATAGACTTTCGGAACAAAGAGCCCCAGGCAAATAGACAGATACCTTATGAATGATCCTTAATGCGCACCGCCGGCTTGGCATGTGCGACGCTGGACAGATCCTGCTCTCAAAGCTCCAGCGCGCAGAAGAGCAACTTCCCTGCAGGCAAGTTGCGGTTCCGAGAAAGCTGGGGAGGTTTGTGCTGGGCTTGAGGCTCCTAAAAACCCTAAACCCTAAACCCTAAACCCTAAACCCTAAACCCTAAACCCTAAACCCTAAACCCTAAACCTAAACCCTAAGGTCCTCGAACACCTTGGCCCAGTGTCGGAGACTCATGGTCTGCACTCGATGAGCTCCTTCCACCACCTATCCTCAGCAGTGCCAGAAATAGACTTCAGAGAAACGTAGCAACCACCTGCAGCTTGCAACTCAAAAAAACCTGAAGCTCCTCAGTCGTGACAAGACAGAAGCCTCTCTTTCGAAGTACTCGATGCAGGCAGCGAGCAGGTCTGAAGGCCGGAAGTCATGGGCACGATGCAGAGCTGTGACCTCCTCTTGAGACTACGGAAAGCACCCGGCAGACTGGCGAGTCGCTGGAGGAACAGGTGAATAGCTTTTAGACGCGTTGGGATTGATGTATAGGGCTCAGTGGCATAGGGCGTACCCTAAACCCTAAACCCTAAGGGTTTAGGCTTTTAGGGTTTGTTTTGAGAGAAAAAGCGGTCCTGGTCCTGATCGCAGGAGCTGGTCTGTATTTCAGCTGTGACGTCTGCGATGTACAGGCGCGCGTTCTGAAAGGAGGCGAACTGAGCCTGAGCATCCCAATGGCTTTACTCTTTCCAGAAGGGTTAAGGGTGTAGGGTTTAGGGTTCAGGGTTTAGGGTAGGTTGGTTGGGGGAGTTTAGGGTGCAGTGGGCCGCTACCCCAAGCAGCCTCTGCATCTGCCAGTTGCATCATCCAGCGCAGGTTGGCACACTCCGCCGGGCCAATAAGGTACCTTAAGGGCACTTTCATGTGTGTGTGTGGGTTTGGGGGTTAGGGGCGTCGAAGGGTCGGTCGCCACATTCAGAAACCGCATCCTCCTCGTCCTCGTGTCTATGTGCGAAGCAAAGCCAGGTCGCAGCTGGCCGCCGATCACCGCATAGACTTCGGCCTCGTGCAGTTGCACTGCGCGTTTTCAGCTGCTAAACCCTAAACCCTAAACCCTAAACCCTAAACCCTAAACCCTAAACCCTAAACCCTAAACCCTAAACCCTAAAACCCTAAACCCTAGAACCTAGACCCTAAACCCTAAACCCTAAAAAGGCCCTGTGGCCCTGGGACCTCAACTCCAAGTCTGAAGGAACTGAACAAACATCGGCCTGAATCAGAGACTCTGGGAGAACTTGCAATTCGGTTCGAGGGTTTAGGGTTTAGGGTTTAGGGTTAGGGTTTAGGGTTTAGGGTTTGGGGTTTGGGGTTTAGGGTTTAGGGTTTAGGGTTTAGGGTTTAGGGTTTAGGGTTTAGGGCCTCTTTCATGTAGCCGCCGCTGTCCCAGTCATGCAGCGTGCTTCTTTGAGAGTCGGGCAGCTGCTCCTGGGCCACAGGAATCACGTCCAAAATGATCCCAGCAGGCGCTGAAAAACCCGTTTTTGCCACCCTAAACCCTAAACCCTAAACCCTAAACCCTGAACCCTAAACCCTAAACCCTGAACCCTAAACCCTGAACGCCAAATCGTATGTTGGGCATTGTGAACAGAGGAGGTCCTCACTTTCCACCACGGCCGTCTCCCAGGTAGCGGGCACCTCGGTCTCTGCTTTGCCCTTCTTGGACCCGGAGTATCCTCCCCCCCCCCCCCCCCCCCCCCCCCCCCCCCCCCCCCCCCCCCCCCCCCCCCCCCCCCCCCCCCCCCAAAAAAAAAAGGAACAGATTATGCCGGCGAAGACCCCAAACAGTAAGATTGCAGATCAAGGGAAAGCGGCATGAAGCAATAACGCGACGCGTAGAATTCAGTATGGAGGCGTGGGTTTCAGGCTTCTCTTTGGAGCTGCCAGGGGTCGGAACAACTCTTTCCCAATCCAAACGATGGATTGACATGGATGTCCAAGCGCTGCCCACATGCATTTTGCTAAGCCTGAAAAATGCGTTTGGTCTTGCTTTCTACATTTGCAACGCCATGCTCTCTCTTTCTGTACTTTTTCAAAGGCGAAAACAGCTGAGTGCATTTAGGCACGCACGAAAAATGCAGTTGCGCATTCGCCTCTTCTGTACGCAGCTTGTCTTTACGACGAAAGATCAGCGGTTAACTCAATCTTATTGTGGTTGTGGAAGGAGCAAGCTGCGCGAATGCATTCTGCCCACTTTGAAAAATGCACCTGAGCATGTTCTTCCTGATTCTGGGTCTGTTTCGGTACTCCTGCAAAATGTCGAGCATTGTTCTAAACACGTTTTTCAATTCCTACAGCTACTTTTATGCACAGAAAACACATCAGAAGAATCGAATACGTCATGAGCCAGCAGAAACCAAGACTAAACATGATAGGAAACCAGTGCCAAATGCATTCTTCGGGCGACGAAAAATGCATTTGGAATGCCCTAGAAATGCATGTCGGGTAGATGTTGGTCGTAAAACACCAATCTATTTTTTTTGTTGTTTTCGTTTGTTTTTCATGCTGTAATGGAGCAAACCGAATAGACATGGATGACCAGATGCTGCCGAATGCATTTTGCCAGGCCTGCCCAACGCATTTGGTCTTGCTTTCCACATGTGCAACGCCGCGTGCTCTTTCTGCACTTTTCCAAAGCGAAAACAGCTGAATGCATTTGGGCACAGGCGAAAAATGCATTCGGACTTTGGTTTCTTCCGTACGGGGCCTCTGTCTTTGACACAAAAGTCAGCTATCAAGTGAGTTCTTTTATTGTGGTTTTGGAAGGAGCAAGCTGCGCGAATGGATTTTGCTTGCTTTGCAAAATGCATCTGGGCATGTTGCTTCTGATTTTACGCCCCTTTTCGGGAATTTTGCGAAACGGTGATTATGGTTCTAAACGCGTTCAAATCCTATATATAGATGTTCTTATGCGCAGAAAAACATGAAATTTCAGCCGGCAGAAACCAAGATTGCAACATGATAGGAAACCAGTGCCAAATGCGTTTTCGGGCGATGAAAAATGCATGTGGAATGCCCTCAGATGCATGTCGGGGAAATGTTGGTCGTAAAATACCAGTAGACATGGATGTCCAAGCGCTGCCCGAATGCATTTTGCCAGGCCTAAAAAACGCATTTGGTCTTGCTTTCCACATTTGCAACGCCGTGCTCTCTTTGTGCACTTTTTAGAAGGCGAAAACAGCTGAACGCATTAAAGCGCGGGCGAGGTCGCTCACCACGGGCCCGAACCGCGTGACACCCGCCCGGCCCCATTGCGCTCAGGAGACCATGGGAGACCACGAATCCGAGCGCGTGACACCCTCTCAACCCCTGTCGCTCATGATCGGACACCATGACAGACCACGACCGGACCGCGTGACACCCGCCCAGCGTGCTCAGAGACCATGGGAGACCACGGACCCAAGCGCGTGACACCCTCCCAGATGATTTATGGGAGACCATCAAGCGCGTGACGTCCAACCACTGCCACTCACCGCGGACCCGAACCGCGTGACACTC